AAAAAAAAGTTAAATAGATAATATCATGTGAATCACATATATAAATAACATGTGTAATATATGTGTAATACATGTATCACATATATAACCGTCACATGTATCACATATACAAACATTGCATATATATAAATATCACGTATATTTCATATAAGTTACGTAAATATAAGGACTAGCATTATATCGCATATGCAAAAAATGATAAAATTCTATTTTAAAATATTTAAAAATAATTAAAAAAATGATTGTAATTAATAAATAAAATTGTTTATAAATTTGTAAGTAAAACAATTAAAAGAATATTACTATTATTTATTATTAAATGTTTTAATTTATTTAGGATATCATTAATAATATAATAAAAGATTTATTAATTATAAAATATATTTAATAAAGAATGAATTTTGTAAAATCTATAGAAAATTATTTAGCTAAAAAATAAAGATGAGATTGTAATTACATCAGTAAATTTAATAATACAAAGTATTATATAAATCTTATATCTTATAATCTTATGTAAGGTTATGAGCCTATCAAAAAAATTATGTATCATAGTATTTTAATATTATTATAATATATAATATTTTGAAAGTTTATGATTAAGTCTAAAAATAAATGATAAAATTCTAGCAGAATCTGGTATTTTTGAGAAAAATCTGATAAAACTTTCTATATTTCAGATCTTTATTTGGCAAAATTTAAGATAACTTTTTGTATATCTGCCAAATTTTCATGGAATTTGGAAAAAATCTGATAAAAAATTTTTTTCTGGATCTTTGGCCAGTAAATTTTAATTTCTATTTTTAGCTTTATTTATAATATATAAACTTTTAAAGGTTTATGATATGTAATATTTTAAAAATTTATGATATGTAATATTTTAAAGTTTTATGATATGTAATATAATAATATCATAGTAATTTGTATATTAGTGATACGTAATATATCAAAAGTATATAATTTATACATTTTTTATATAATTAATTTATTATAATATTATCTAAGTTTATATTTTATAATTATTAACACTTAGTTTATAAAATTATATAATTTAAATTTATTTATTTATTAAACAATAAAATACAAATATTTTATAATAATAAAAAACTTTTAATATAATATAAAATATAAAAAAATATTATAATTAGTAATATTTAAAAAATAATTAGTAATATATACTATAAATAAATGAAATTATTAGTATTAAATAATATAAAATTAGTAAAATTAGTAATATTTAACGTTAAAAACGAAATAAATAAATATAATTAGTAACATAAAAGAAATAAATTAAATATAGTTAATAAAAAATTAAATGCTAGTGATAAAATTTAACATTAAAAATATAATATTCAAAGAAGTAAATATATTTAATAAATGAGAGAAGAGAGTAAACATAAAAAATAAAAAAAATAAAAAAATAATATAAACAAATAAAAGTAAATAAAGAATCTAATATAATGTAAAAAATTATATAATTAGTTAATTTACAAGACTATATAAATTAAAAGTATAAAATAAAATTAAAATAGGTAAGTGAAAAAAAGGGATAATAAAATATTTTGTTATACACTTTTATGAAATTCAAAGTGAATTTTATTCATAATAAAAAATTTTTAATTTTTTAATTATTTTTATTATTAATATACTTTTAAAAAAGAATAAAATTCTGCATGATAAAATATAGTTATAATTTTTAATTATTATATAAATTACTATTTAATGTAATATTAAAAATGCAATAAAATTTAGAAAAATAATAATGTTCAAAAATTAATCATAATAAATAAATTAATAACTTTTAAATATTTTAATAAATACTTTTATTTGATACTTTTTTTTTTATAAAATATGATAGTTTTTTGATATAATAAAGTTGATTTATAATTAATCAAATTTATAATATAATATTAAAATTTTTTTTAACTAACAAGACTAATTTGTAATTTAAATAATTGATTTTGAAAACTCATAGATAATTTTATTTTCTTACATATAAATATATATTTTCTTACTTCTATTAGATTTTTAGATGTTAAAATTAATATTCAGTATTATTACTTTCAGATAATTTCTTTTCCTTAAGTTCTGGTATTCACTTCTGCTTAAGATTCTTATATGATAAATCTCAAAATATTGCTTTTCAATTTTTTCAAATATCTCTGAATCTAGTTATTGAATTTGAATCTTTCTTACAAAAAAATCCTCTAAATCAATAAGATACCTGAATATATAAATATCTGTATTCTATAATAAGAACTTTATCAAATAGCAACTGACCAATAAATTTCAGATTTTTATACTCAAATTAAAATATAAACCATTAACTGATAAACAATTGAAATATATTTATAATATGATATTCATTTTTACTTAGAATATAGAACTCAAATTATTATTCTATTCAATAATAAATATGATTCTTTATTTACAAACTTCAAACCTTTATAAAGTACAAACTTTATTTTTAAACTTAACACTAAATAGTATTTATTTAATAACTTATTCTTTGGATTTAATGACTTATCTGACTTAATGATTTAATTCAAATTACAATATTTTGCTATCATAATAAATAAAATCTGAGAAACTCACTTCTTACTCTTATCACTATCATTAGTAAAAATGGTTAACACAATTAAAAAAATGGTGCAATTGAATTGCAACTTGTGATGCAATTAAATTTTCTTATGATGCAATTAAATTACAACTCAATTGAAATTTGAAAATAATTATGATGATTATTTTTAATCATTGGATTAAAACAGCTCTAAGAATATTTTTAGTTATATGATGATTTCTTAATATGTTGGCTAAAATAGCTTAATAATATTAGACACAATAATTTCATTAGAAACGTTATTTCTCTATATTTATAGTATTTATTTTTCTTTTACAAGACAACTAACATATTTGATAATTTCAAGATTAAAGATACTACTATAACAAAAATTTGATCTTTTGAATACTAAAAGCTAATCTATACAATGTTATTTTTATTAATTTTGTAAAAAAAAGAAATTATTAGAAAGAAAAAAGTAATTAAAACTTTTTATCTTAACATGAATATTTACTGAATTAAATCAAAAAAATTATTCCTTTTTTTTTTAAAAAATTATTGACTTATTTATGAATTTTTCTACTATTATATACCTATCCTTCCTCATTTTATAATTTCTTTAATCAAACTTATGATCTTGTCTGAAAATCAAGATACATACTGACTGTTTTAAAAAACAATCTCTTTATATTTCACAAATATAGCAAAAAAGGAGTTTATGCTTCCTTCAATCTTTTTCTAGAAACAGTTTTATTAATATCTTTTATTCTTCTAACTATTTCAAGTATGATTATTTGTTTTTAATTAAAAATTTATATATACACAGTCATCGTTTACCACTTTTCTTAATGCAGTAATAACTATTTATTATATAGGAGTATTTCTAGAAAAATCAAGTTCTAAAAAATTTTTGACTAAAATTAAGAGTTTAATAAATTTTGATATAATAACATTAAAAACTAAAATGTAATAAAATCTTAATTTTGCTAAAAAATTTCCAGACCTGATTTTCTTAACAATCAATCCATATGTTTCCTTTCTGATAATGGTAATTCTACTAGTGATTATTACTGGAATTTAACGGAACAACCAGTTGGTCTGATAAAATTTGAGTTCTTAAACTTTTTGTTTTATTAAACAGCTTTTTTTATTTTTTTTACTTCTATACTTCCTTAGAAGATTTTCATGTATATTTATATTGATTATGATTAAACTTAATAAATAAAAACATTATTGTATCTATAAAAAAAAAGTGATTGATTTTATGCTTATTTGAAAGATTAGAACTTTTACACTTTTTTTTTTTTTACCAACTTCAATGCTTCAACATTCTGTAATCCAATTTTGATAAATTTGGCTTGTTTTAAGGTAACAAATTTATATATCAACAGGTAATTTTAAAACAATTATGCTTTATTTATCTTAAAATTTTAAACTAATAATAAAGTATTGCTGTTGTTATAACAAAACTCATTTCGTTATTCCAATATCTCATTATCAAAATGATTGTAATTCTCTTATCTTTGTTAATATTTATTCCTAATAGTTCCTTGTTACAAAAGCATAATATAATTATCCATTAAACTCCTGAATTATAAGCTTTATAGGAAATAGTAATCACAAGTTGTTTTCTGACCATCATGAGTTATTACATTCTCTTCGCATATATACTCAGGATGGTTATATTCTACAGAAAGATTAATAGATTAATAAGTATTATGTGATAAAAAGTTAGAATGAATTTATCCTAGAACCACCAGGCCAGAAGGATTTCCTTCAAGATAATTGCATACTACACAAACGTTGAAAATTCATACACTCACCACACTTATCTTTGGGTTTTTTGAATTATGAAAAGAGATATTGCATGGGATATACGCCTTATCCTTTTCGATCTTTTCATAACTATTGCAAATCCCTCACAATTTTAACAACATCGGTGAGACTAGGTTTGATACAAAGTTAGACATCATATCATAATACAGGGTCAAGCATATCTTAAACTCCGCATAATCTTGTCTTCCAAGCGGTCATTTTTGGTTGTGCATTTAATAGTATTTAAAAGGAGTGTGGATGCTCTCGCAAGCTCCTCTGGTATAAGGGTCGTGATTAGTGTGATTAAGGCGTATTGGTCCTACTAAATTTGTATTCATTAAAACAATGTTATGATGGGTGGAATGGCTATCTGTTACTCATGCAATAAACTTATATATCTTGGAATAGAATTCTTGACAAGAGGTGAAGACGTTTATATAATGGATTAGAAGGCAAATTTATGACCGAGAAATTTAGATATATATCCTTTTGTGGAATGCATTGGGGTATATATCAACATTGGGCTACAGCTTGTACCGGAAATAAGTTTTGCAAACTAAATTTCGAAGATTATATGGCACGAATTATAGTAATACAAATTAAGAAGCACTCTTCATTAAAATATTATCTATTGCCTTATGATTTTTTCACACACTTCAAGTAACATATTGAACCGACATAATATACCCAAACTTCCCGAAGCCTCGTCTAATGAAACTTTTCCTTTTGTGAAACATTTCTGAACTGAAGCATTAGATGATGATGAAAGTAAAATATCACTACAACGAGATGTAACGGATACTAACAGACCCTTAAAACCATCCTATATAAATAAGAATTATTTAATTATTTATATAATAGAAATAAAACAATCAAGGAGGGTTACTACTTACCAATACTTCTTCATCTTGCATATTATCTTCAGCATCAACAGCCTCACGTAAAGTCTCAATATCCGTGAGGAAGTTATGCGCTTGTTCTAGTTTCTAATTATTTAATAAAATAAAGCATTAATAATATAAATTCCATCCAATTTGATCATTTATTTTGACAAACCTTTCTGTCTTGTTCTTCTTTTGCGAATGCTCTTCTTTCATTTGCCAATTCCTTACAAACACTATCACGTTCACGTTGAACATCCAATAATTCCTTTCTCAAATGATTCGTTCGCAATTTGGATTTCCTTAAAGATGATTGCAGCTTTATTTGTTCATCAACAATATCAGACTAATAATACGAAAAAAAAAGATGTAAAAAGATGCGATATAAACTATATAAATCGCAACACTATAATAATATTATCAAACCTGCTCAAGCAAATGCAATTCGATCTCTTTATTAAAATGTTGAATTTCTTTCTTAAATGATTTGTTACCCAGCTCGACCCTAAAAATCACATAAAGATATGCTCAAGATGATTATAATAACATTCATCAAAAGATAAAAATAATTACTAACAGAAACTCTGTGATAATATCATTGATAGCGTCAACAATTTCACCTTGCGCAAGATCACGATTATTTG